TTATTATTATTATTATTATTATTATTATTATTATTATTATTATTATTTTCCTCAATCTTATGCAAGGCAAGACAATAATGAAGGACTTTAGAGTTTCTCTGGAATCTTCTCCAACTACTTTTTTCCTTTCTTCTTCCTGCGTTTCAATTTCAAATTTATTTATCGCAGCTCCGAGGCCCCATGCAAATGAATAAATCAAAGAAGCATTGCATAAGAGTAAAAACACTAAGCATAAAGCCATAGATAGTCCTCAACTTATGACCATTCTGGAGCCCAAATGTTTATGTTGCTAAGTGAGATGTTTATTAAGTGAGTTTTGCCCCATTTTAAGACTTTTCTCACCACATTTGTTCTTAAATTAGTATAACACAGTCGGTAAGTGAATCTTGTTTTCCCACTGACTTTACTTGTCAGAAGATCGCAAAAGGGGCTCAGAAGACGACCCTGGAACTCTCGAACTGTCATAAATATGAGTCAACTGTCAAGTGTCCAAATGTAAATCACGTGACCCTGGGGATGCTGCAACAGTCATAAGCGTGAAAAACAGTCATAAGTCACTTTTTTTCCAGTGCCATTATAGCTTCCCAACGGTCACTAAATGGACTGTTGTAAGTCGAGGACTACCTGTACAGCAGAGTCTTCTCCTCTGTTGTTATCCCTCCCAATTGCACACAATCTGAGCAGTCCTGTGCAACATTTTGCAAAGCAATATGTGTCGGCTCACTCGCACTATAAAAAAACGCGCTGAAAGGTACACCCCCTTCAGGAGGCTGCCTGGTTTGATTTAAACAGATGTCCAAAGAACAAAAGAGAACATTGTACAAATGCTCTTCTTAAGATTTAGTTTTGACAGTGGAAAAAAAAGAAAATCCTGTTTTTCTGCTTGCTTTGTTTTCCCAAAATGGCAGAGTTCCAGCAAGTGACTCCACAAAATGGCCTTACCAAAATCAAAAAAACCCGATTCACTTCCTAACGCAGGTCTCTCTCTGCAAGGGCAGAATTACAATGCCCATCATCCCTGGCCTGGTCGCGGAGTGCCTGAAGTTTGGTCACTTGACTGTGCGGGGAGACCCCCACAGTTGGAACTTTGAATCGGGGTATCTCGTATAGATTTTAATTATCAAAACAAGTCACAATAAAATGGGAATACACGGGAAGCTGCAGTTACAACTGTACACACAAATACCGGCATAAAACAATAACATTTGTTGGGTTGACATTTCATTACCCAACTTGGTAATATCGTCAGTGCTAGTAAGGAAGGGGGATTGCTTTCAATTTATATTCTAGTGGCTTGGGGGAAAGGGATGGTTGTAGAGGTTGAAGACGAACATAGATTAACACCAAGCTTAATATCAGACCAACAATCAAGAAGTCATCATCAAGGAAATGCCAAACAAACCTGTCAGCTTTGAGATTCAGCTGCCAAAAATGAAAAGGGGGGTGGAGGAGTTGGAAAGTTCAAGGTTATTCCATATGTCGCATTAAGAAATTCCAGCTGCAGTTAATTGGTTCTCGTGATTAATGAAGTGTCCAAGTAGAAGGAGAGAAGGTGGATTTTGTATAATGCTGGAAAATGGCTTTCACTTTTGGAAATTGCCATAGAAGTACCAGAGCTGTTCCTAATAAATCAGTTAGAGATTATATTGTCTCGGAGTGACTGATTACCATGGATAATTTCTGGATGCCTAACAAAGCCAACAGCAAACAGCCAAACCAAAGAAACTCCAAGACCATTCCCAGCCAACACTGAGAGGGCAGATGACTAGAATATAAACTTAGAGCAAACCCTGCTCCATACTAACACTGATTATATTACCTAGTTGGGTCATGAAAGGTCTGCAAGAAAACAACCAAGCTTAGAAATCACCAAGGATTCCTTAGTTCAAACCCTGAGCAACAAATATTCTCCTTTAACAGTTGTTGGGTTCCAAAATAGCGTTAAAAAAAAAAGACTGAATAAATCATAGTGGCCTGGACTGGTATATAGTGTGATCAGTGGTGGGATTCACATTTTTTTAATACCGATTCTGTGGGCGTGGCTTGGTGGGCGTGGCAGGGGAAGGATACTGCAAAATCCCCTTTCCCTCCTCACCCCACTGACCTGCTTTCCAGCTCAGTTCTCCTGTGCAGGGCAACCAAAGAAGACCCAGTCGATCAGCTGGGACTCAATGGGAGGCAGAGAAGAGTTGTGGGTGGGGCCAGTCAGAGGTGGGATTGGCTGGTTGTCTGAACTACTCAAAATTTCTGCTACCAGTTCTCCAGAACTGGTCAGAACCGGCTGAATACCATCTCTGAGTGTGATGTCTTAAGACCTCAAACAGTAAACAAAGCCCCTCAAAACCCCTCAATCATTTAGGCCTTGGCCCAGTATTTCACAAACTTTGGCAACTTCCAGGTATATAGACTTCAACTCCCAAAATTCTCACTGACAGCCATGGTGGCTGTGCAATTCTGAGATTTGAAGCCCTGGAGTTTTATAAACATTGAGAAACTTTGCCTTAATCATAATGGGGACTCAGAGCACTAAGAGCCACGCAATTAAATGAAATAACATCTTACTTTTAAAAGCCTAGCATAGCACAATAATTAGCAGGAAGAGTTTGTTAACTGCACTTTATTCTGAAAACAATCACAACCGCCGATAACCAGCCTTTTAGCTCAATCTTTCCAGCGTCTTTTCTTGAAACGTGAGCTACCCTGCTCTGTTGAGTTCTCCACCTTTGTTGCAAGATTCATCTCTGGGTTAAGATCTTATCCTGATATCTGATATTCCGTTGCTTGGGGCTAATATTCTCTGTAAAGGTTTCGTGCCTCGGTGTTATATAAGCATCCAGGAAGTCTGAACCTGTGGACTTTTTAATTCCTGGTTTGGAAATATAACCAAATGTAGGCAATCCTTGACTTACAAACACAATCAGAAGCAGAATTTCCGTTGTTAAGCAACGCAGCTGTTAAGGGAGCATGATTTTATGACCTCTTTTGCCATGGTCGTTAAGTGATTCGCTCAGTTAAGTGAGTCACATGGTTGCTAAGCGAATCTGGCTTCCCTCATTGACTTTTGCTTGTTGGAAGCTGGCTGTCATGCCCCTGTCGGAATCTGATTCAGAGGGGGAGGCCGTGGGAATGTGGCTCCGTTGGCTTTGGAAGAAACTGGGGAAGGGCACAGTCGGGCTGGGCAGAGCAGGGGAGAGGTAGAGCAAGGGAGAGGGAATTCGGAAGAAGACCCAGGCCCACCCCCTCTTCATCCTAGGGCACGCAGGGAGGAACGGAGAAGGGAGCAACGTGAGCTGCATGGGTTTACGGGGGAGGAAAGGGCCCTGATTCCCTTCATTAGCTGCAGCTGGGAATACAGTGTTTGAAAAGGGAGTTTGCGTACCGCAACTTGTTGGAAGCAAACTATGCATTATCTTGTTTTGTCGAAGTTTATCTGGGTTCCTGGCGTCTTCCCAACTGTGTGTGTTTTGTTGGCCTTTGAAATGCAATTCCTTCTCCTGCCCTGTCCAGTTAATTACTGCAGCGTGGTTAGTTTGGATTTTTAGTTATAGTTTTTAAGTACTTTGTTTTCGGACTGAATTTCCTCCACTTAAAGACTGTTCTTGGGAGAGTTTTTTCTCCAGTCGAAGGTAACTGGACATTGGGGGCAAAGTTGGAGGTATTAAAGGAACTTTTCTTACTTATGTGACTGTGTTGCCTTTGTGCCATGCCCTTTTGGGTTATCACACCAGCTTGGAAGGTCATGAATGGCAATCACATGGCCTCAACCGTCATAGGTACATGCCAGTTACCAAGCTTATTAATTCTGATCACATGACCAAGGGGTTGTTGCAATTTTCAGTGTGAATACCCTTTTCCCAGTGATGATAAAACTTTGAACAGTTGCTGAATGAATGATTGTAAGTTGGGGACTACCTGTAATACCAACCAAGTCATCAGTTTTCTTACCTCTCCATTTTGTCCGTATTTGATTTCATACATCAAAACCAACCCGTTGGGGTTAACCGGCTCGGGCCACTTCAGGGTTATGGTGTTTTCCTCCTTCCCTTCCCATGTTACACTTCCTGGAATGTTATCAGCCCCTTCTGTGGAAAGTGAGCAGAAGAGACGATTCATTCATATTTGTATCCCACCTTCCCCGTCCCTATTTTCCCCACAACAACCACCCTATAAGGTGGGTTGGATGGAGAGAAAGGGACTGGCCCAAAGTCACCCAGCTGACTTTCATGGCTAAAAGCAGGATTTGAACTCCTGCTTTCCAGCTTGGTGCCTTAACCACTAGACCAAAGTGTCTCTTTGATTGAACTCTAAACCAGAGCTGAGATCTAAGGTGGCATACCTTTGAACCAATTTGAGCCAGAAGTTATATATTTAGCAAAAAAGGAAGGTTTTTTTTTTTAAACAGGAACTTTTAGGCTGCTTATAGCAATAAAAAGGAAGAAATGGAAAACACGTAAACTGAAGTAAAATAAGAAAATAAAATAATGAAAACCAGAACAAGAATACATAAACATGATAACCGTTATCATTATCATATAGTCCAGGGGTCTTCAAACTTGAAAGCTTTAAGACTTGTGGACTTCAACTCCCAGAATTCCTCCTCCAGTCATGTTAGCTCAGGAAATTCTGGGAGTTGAAGTCCACAAGTCTTAAACTTGCCAAGTTTGAAGACCCTTGATTTATTCTATCTACCTACCTACCTACCTACCTACCTATCCTATCCTATCCTATCCTATCCTATTCTATTCCTATCTATTCTCTCTTTCTATCTATTCTACCTCTCTTTATCTATCTATTCTATCTATTCTCTCTCTCTCTCTCTCTATCCCTCCCTCCCTCTATCTATTCTATCTATCTCTCTTTCTATCTATTCTACCTCTCTTTCTCTATCTATTCCAGGGGCCTTCAAACTTGACAGCTTTAAGACTTGTGGACTTCAACTCCCAGAATTCCTCCTCCAGTCATGTTAGCTCAGGAATTCTGGGAGTTGAAGTCCACAAGTTTTAAACTTACCAAGTTTGAAGACCCTTGCCATATACCATTACATCAAGGAGTTTTAAGGAATTCTTAGCTCTTCAGCTGTGTACTGAAGGCCTTACGCTCCTAATCCTGCCTATACAATCTACAATCAGAGAGTTGCATGCTACCAACCCTTTCAAAATTTACTGACAAAAGTGAAATGTTTAAAGCGACGGAAGAGGAAAACGATCAAATTCCTGCAGAAGGATCTTACCAATAGTATTAAATTTTATGATATACCATATTGAATTTATCCTGGTCCCACCCAAAACAGGATGTCCATCAACAGAAAGCCTGACTCAAATGATAGTGCAGCCCTCTTCCTTCATTGACTCTACTTCTAGGATCAAACTAGTGGCGGGATTCAATTTTTTTTTACTGCCGGTTCTGTGGGCGTGGCATGGCTTGGTGGGCGTGGCAGGGGAAGGTTACTTCAAAATGCCCCTTCCCTCCCCACCCCACTAACCTGCTTTCCAGCTCTGTTCTCCTGTGCAGGGCAACCAAAGAAGACCCAGCCAATCAGCTGGGACTCGATGGGAGGCAGAGAAGAGATGGGGGCGGGACCAGTCAGAGGCGGTATTGGCTGGTTCTCCGAACTACTCAAAATTTCTCACTACCGGTTCTCCAGAACTGGTCAGAACTGGCTGAATACCACCTCTGGATCAAACTACGAGGGGAGTTTACGTGCTGGATTGGACCACGATGCTTTCTTAAGCTACATGTATGCTAAAAATAAAAAGTAAGAGGTTGGTGGTACCTGCAGGCATCGTCCGGGCGAAGACGAAGTTTGAAGCGCTGCAGCCCAGGTGTGCCGCTTCGTGATTGCAACTGTGGATGTCGATCCGATAAAGGGTGAAAGGCAGGAGCTGCGAAATGAGGGTCCTTTCCTTGCCATCCACCTTCGCTTCGTAGAAGGGAAACTCCATCTCGCCCTCCTCCATATCGGTCCCGTTGCTCAAGTGTTCTGGAGCGATGCCAGTCTTGTTGTTCTTACCAGCAAACGTTGCGTTTGCGACACGGAACAAATCCCTCCTCTTACGATCAGGTCTGGACCAAAAAAACAACAACCCCAAGAACCACCACCAGGTTTTAATCTCTCGGACACTCAAACCTGAACTCCAAGGCCACAATATTTCCAGAGAAAATAGCACCCGAAGTTATTAAAAGGATTTTAAAAAGCAAATGTATCCCCCTTCCCTGAGTTAAAATCACCCTAAATCAGAGTTAGGTCACACTTTAAAATTATCACATGGCCCATGAATGCAGGGAGAGAATTCGGGGGTGGGGTGGGAATTTGCTTTATTTTAAGCTGCATTCAGCCAAAGTTATGAGTTTAGGTACAGTTGGTGTGCGGTTTTTGCCTCAAAATGATTTGGGGGTGATGTTCCAGGACCCACCAAAAATAAAGAGCTAAACCGGCTCCGCGGATTCAGGTTGACTCCAGAGTCAAGTGAAAAGGTGATGGGAGTTTTGCAAAGCCCAGGTAAGACATTTTAACTAGAAAGAAAAGCCAAAATGAGATGGGGCAACGATATAGACGTAACTATGGAAAATAACAAGATTAAGTGGCAGGAAAAAATATTCATCAGCAGCCTCTCTATGGAAGAAGCAGATCTGTTGTCTTCTAAATCAAGCGGCAGTCCGGTGAATTATTAAACACTTAAGTAAAGTTCACACCACAGGTTTCTCTTCCTTTCACAACAGCCTTACGAGAGGCATGATAAGTTTTAATACTTGGTGGTTTATTCCATTTTGCCCTAACCTAAGCCAGCCCTTGGGAGCTCCACCCATATGTATTTCATTCATTTGAATTGTTTTTAAATCCTGCCTTTATTATTTTATAGGTAACTCGAGGTAGCAGACATTCATAAAGCTCCTTCCTCCTCCTATTTTCCTCAAAACAGCAACCCTGTGAGGTGGGTTGAGCTGAGAGAGATGACATAAAGTCATCCAGCTGGTTTTCATGCCTAAGGAGGAACTAGAACTCACAGTCTCTTGGTGATTGGCCCAAACTCACCTAGCCAGCTTTCACGCCTAAGACAGGACAAGAACTCAGAGCCTCCTGCCAATTGGCCCAGTCACCCAGTTGACTTTCATGACTAAGGTGGGATTAGAATTCACCATCTCCAAGTTTCTAAGCCAGTACCTTAATCACTAAACCAGGGATCGCCAACCTTTTGGACCTCAGGGACCACCAAACGCATAATTTTAAATCCTGCAGACCGGAGACCCTGGGAAAATCCCCCCAAAAAGTCTGCAGGAAAATTCCCCACCCCCGTTTTCCTACCGATCGATCATTCTTTATTTGGGATCACAGGATACGGTCTCCAGCTCCATACTCAGGGAGAGAGAGAGAGAGAGAGAGAGAGGAAGAGAGACTTTTGGCTTCATGCAAGGAAAGCAGCAGAAGCAGCAAAAGTCTTTCTTTCTCTCCTCCAAACTCCGCCAGAAATGAGTCTTTATGAGACTTGTTGCGCAGGCGCAGCCTCTTGGAGCAGGAGGCCTTGCAGAGTCCCAAAGACTCATTTCTGGCGGAGTCTGGGGAAGAGAAAGAAAGAAAGACTTTGGCTGCTTTCCTTGCATGCAGCCAAAAGCAGAAGAAGAAAGAAGCGGAAAGAAGCAGCCTGGTGGCCAGGCCAGGCGCGTGGGGCAAGTGGGGCAAGTTCTCTCTCTCCACCCTTCCCCCCTCCCCTCACGACCTCATGTTGTTCGCAATGCAAGGGATGCAAGCCTTGTGTTCCCGCACAGCCTGGATTAATTGCTTGGGGGGGGGGTGTCATTTCTCTGCGGACCACCAACATTTTCTTGCGGACCACGAGTGGTCCCTGGCCCACTGGTTGGCAACCGCTGCACTAAACCAATCTGGCTCTAACATGGTTTTTAGAGCCCCCAAACAAAAAGCAACTGAACCAAGATGGGGGAATGAAGCCCAGGTAGTCAAACCCTGCCACTTAGATGTTTCCCTACAAGCTGCAACCTATCAAAAGCTAATAATACGCCAGCTCTTTCCTCTGGATTGGGGAAGCTTCTGGGAGCTACTAACCCTTTGTTCCACCCAGTGCCACACACCCAGGCACGAAGGGATCATTCAAAGAGAGTCACATGGCTAACACACATTGCTCCCAAATTAAGCCTTTTCCTGAAATATAGCATCTATTCTGGAGCAGGCTACATTACTCCCTTCCAAATTGTTTTTAACGGTGATTGGTGGACCTGCCCTGGAGTCCTTTGACGTTCTTGGTTCCTCCGGAATAAGGCAGAATAAGGAAAGAAACCCAGGGGGACGGTCAAGGGACATGGAAAAGGGGAGCAGAAAGAGGAGGAGACGGCCTCGGAAGAAAGAAACGGAATTTCACATGAACCAGCCATGACCCCAAGCGTATCGGTCAGCGGTGCTAATCCGGCTCAGAGTAGAAAAGAGATTTAAGGGATGCTCTCTCGCTCAGGAGCCTAGACTCCGATATCAACAGTTTTATTGGGAAAGTTGCTTTTCCGAATCTCCCTAAAGCCAGCCGATTCTCTCCTGAGTCATTCTGGCACCTGTCGAAGCATAGAGAAGAATCCAAGGGTGGGAGGGAACCAAAAGGTGGTTCAATTCTTAGGGATGAAGAGAGGTTTTTTTCTTTCAAAGGTTGCTCAGCTCAGCAATAGTCCAAATGGGCCCAGAATGTGCTGGGTGCAGGAGAAGACCTCCTCTGACAGATGAAATCAAAGTACAGAATTGCCGCTTGAATATGGATACCTACCTATCATACCAGTATGTGTATTCCCTCTTCCTTCCCAAGCAGGGACAGACCAAAACAAAAATCCATATGACCTGGTTTGGTACCTATTCGTTAAAATGAATTCCCTACAGGATGCCCTGTTTGTAAAGTTAAGGAAGCTCCACGTATGCTAACAATGTTCTCTCTCCCTCTGTCACACACACCCAACAGAGAGACAGACACACTCAAATAAAACACTCAATGGATATTTAGAAAAAGAAACAGGAAAGAGGACGGCGATGGATTAAGGAATAGATACAGTCGGTAGGGATCAGAAAGGAACAAAACTGGGGGAAGTGAGACAAAAAGCAGGGAGGCAGGGAGGGAAGGAAGGAAAAGGAGGAAGGTAGAAGGGAGGAGAGAAAGAGAAAGGGAGGGAGGAAGGAAAGAAAGAAAGAGAAGGAGAGAGGGATGGAGGAAGATAGG